TATTTGAAAAATCATGAATGTGTCGAACAGTATACCTGCCAGGAGTGGTGCGTGCATTCAATGCATGGTAGTCTCCACACGGTCTCCATCCATTTTCTCCTTTCGGCGCCAGATGCAGGGGTGAAGCCCACGGACTGTCTGATCTGATTTTACCATGTTGGAAAATTCACTCTTTGCAATGCTGAGCTTTTCAGGTGCCAGTCGTCGTGGTCGGCAGAATACAGGAGGTCCTGGAGTCGTTTGTATGTGATGTACTGTCTGGTGCTTCACTTCTCGAGGCAATCCTGGAGTACGAGTAATTTCAGGGAATTCACGTAGGATTTTAGAGAGGGGAGAAGTAGTGACTACGGATTTTACGCTACTTTGAGTCGTAACGGAAAGTTGCGCCAATTGAGCTTCGATTTCTTCTAGCGACATTTGTAATATTGATGAAGGAATGTCGTGTTATGGTAGTTGTTGTTCGGGGTCACCAATATATAGGGTGTGTAATCTGCATTAAATAATATCACTACTATATGAACGAATATTTTGATAAGATTTATTTACAAACAAATGAAGAAGTGTGTTGAATCATAACATAGTCAAAACTAAACATTTTAACAATCTATCAACAGCTGTAACATAATAAATATTAAAATAAAGTGAAGACCAAAGGCATCACAGCTGTGGCTAAGTTGACGCCACAGTCTCAAGCCTTATGGAACAATGTAAAAGTTTTTCCTCAGCCACCAGCACTAAAAAATCTCTCAAAAGTAGAAAATTTGTTGTTAATTATCACGTATAGTACTTTTGAAAAATATTTATATAAAAGTTTGGTTCAGCTAAAAGTGGTGTAAGGGGTGGATAGTTTTGTTTGCTCAAGATGCAGTCGAAATTGCAAATCAACTTTCTCTAGGACCTTCTGAAGCAGGCATAATAAAGGATATGATATATAACATGGCTGGAGAATATTAATAAACATTCCACATCTGCAAAGGCATGTTTAATAATTAAAATATTTAACACTTTTAAGACGATTGACGATTATGCACTCTCACACTAAATAATTGCATTTAATTTATATTTGGACCTCTTTTACGAATGCTTTGGTTTTCACAATACACCTTTATTTGTCAATATCATACAGCTATTCACTATGTTTTTATACGTCAGAATATTCAATACTCAGATACACTAATCAGGTCAAACGTTGAAATACCTTTTTAATAGTAATCAAAACAAAATGTATTTTTTCAATGTAATTTATTTAGGCTCCATGACAAGAAATAGTTTATTAATAAATATGAAGCAACTGTTTCATGAATAGTCTGTAGCTTCATTTAAATGGTTGCAACTAACAGCGGTAGGAATATTATTATTTATTGTATTCTCTGCACAAATATAAACAAAATACATTTTTTGTTCATTTTTAGAACATTCAGCAAATACAATAGCAACTATTAATAAAACGTTAATATACTACTAACGTTATATTTGGAGTCTCACACTACAGGCGGGATACCTGTGTGCGAAAAAGCATTTCCCTCCTCTCCCTTAAAAAAATATGAAATAAATGGATATGCCAGGTTTGATCCAAACAAGCAGACTACAACAGTTAACTTATTCTTCATAAGAATAACATGGAAATTTTTTATTTACAATTTTCTCCGTAACCAATAATCATACAGAAACACTTCAATATACAATTTTTTAAGCTATTCAAAATAGTCTAGAAAAAATTTGGAAAGTTTTATTTTTGAGGGTCAAAAACGAGAAAAACCTATTTTTACCCCATAAACCCCCGTTTCCAAGGTCTGATCATGCTGGTTTGCGAACTCGTTCGAATAAACGTAATTTTGCACGTTTGTACCAAATTTCATCGAAATCGAATCATTTTTGCTCAAATTATTGAGTGGAGCGAGCGAAGCTCTTATACGTCGACTTTTATGCATTTCGTAGTACGCAAACTCCTCCTAGACGGCTGAATCAATCGTTTTCAAATTTTGGGTGGTGATAAAGACCGTATCGGTGAGTGCCAACATCTATATGGCGTTAAAAATAACTCTCAGGAATCCGCCCCACTGGGTCTCAAAGTTTCAATGTAATCCTTATGGAAGCAGTATTTGACACATAAATAAATACATATGATCAGCTGTTGACTTTTGAATGCAGTAGATAAAGAAATAGGTGATAGCATTATTCCACAGATATTAGAACAGAAACGGTATGAATCATAAATATAATCAAATGACGACACTAGCTTGAGGTCCGTGACGTAGGAAGTGCTGAAGGAAGTACTAAAGGTGAGCAGTCTGGAGTGTGGAAACTGTTTATGACGATTAGATCAAGGTATTTTATCAAGGTATCCTTAAATGCTATTCAAAGGGAGGGAAACAGGTCCGTGGCGTAGGAAGTGGTGAAGGAAGGGGTTAAAGGCGAGCAGTCCGGAGTGTGGGAAATGTTTATGACGATTAGATTAAGGTATCTGCAATCATAAAATGCGATGGGAAGGAAGGTAAACAGGTCCGTGACGTAAGAAGTGGTGAATGAAGTAGTAAATGCGAGCAGTCCGGAGTGTGGGAACTGTTTATGACCAATAGATTAAGGTATTTGCAATCGAAAAATGCTAAGGGAAGGGAGGTAAACAGGTCCGTGACGAGGGAGGTGGTGATGGAAGTAGTAAATGCGAGCGGTCCGGGGTGTGGGAACTGTTTATGACCAATAAATTAAGGTATCTGTAATCTTATAATGCTATGGAAAGGGAGGAAAATAGGTACGCGACGTAGGAAGTGGTGATGGAAGTATTTAAGGCGAGTCGTCTGGAGAGTGGAAATTGTTTATGACGATTAGATTAAGGGATATACAATCCTAAAATGCTATGGGAAGGGAGGAAAACAGGTCCACGATATAGGAAGTGTTGAAGGAAGTAGTAAAGGCAAGCTGTCCGGAATGTGGGAACTGTTCATAACGATTAGATTAAGGGATCTGCAATCCTAAAATGCCATGGGAAGGGAGAGAAAAAGGTCCGAGACGTAGGAAGTGGTGAAAGCAGTAGTCAAGGTGAGCTGTCCGGAGTGTCCGGATCTGTTTATGACGATTAGATTAAGGTATCTACAATCTTAAAATTCTATGGGAAGAGAGGGAAACAGGATCGCGACGTAAGAAGAGGCGAAGGAAGTAGTAAGGTGAGCAGTGCGGAGTGTGGGAACTGGGAACCGTTTGTAGCAGTTAGATTAATGTATCTGCAATGCTGAAATGCTATGAGAAGGGATGGAAGCATCCCCACGACATAGAAAATAGTGAAAGAAGTAGTAAAGGCTAGCAACGCGGAGTGTGGGGAATGTTTGTGGCAATTAGATTAACGTATCTAAAATACTAAATTGCTATGGAAAGTGATGAAAACAGGTCCACGATGTAGGAAATGGCTTAGAAAGTAGTAAAGTATGAGCATAGTGTGAAAACCGTCTGTGGCAGTTAGATTGATGTATCTTTAATCCAAAATTCTATGAGAAGGGAAGGAAACAAGTCTATGACGTAGGAAATGGTGAAGGAAGTAGTAAGGCTTGCAGTGCAGAGTGTGGGAACTGTCTTTGGCAATTACATTAATGTATCTGCAATCCTAAAATGCTATGGGATGAGAGGGAAACAGGTCCACGACGTAGGGGGTGGTGAAGGAAGTAGTAAAGGTGAGCGTGTTGAGTGTGGGAATGGATTAATGTATCTACAATGCTAAAACGCCATGGGACGAGACTGTAGCACGAATCGATACATATTTCGATACATGCAATTGCTTACAATATAAATTTACAACTGAGTTGACAACAGCTGATTTTTACTCCATAGAGGCTTAAAACTATTTTGACTTCCTAAAGAGTAAAAATGATACTTTAGACCCGCAACGCATGCATTAAAAACGACTGTTATTACTGCGGTTTGACCAAAACAATACAATATAAACCCTTGATGACTCCGCTCAATTTTGTGGATGCCTCTGCGAACGCCACCTAGTAGTGCTAACGGACACACACACACGCGCGCGCGCGCGCGCGCTCACACACAAGGAAACGCCTCGAACCATAATCCGGTTTTTAATAACGAACATCTCTATCCATGTACATCAAATGATCATATACAAAATTACTACTTACATCTTAATATAAAATTACTACCAATCTACTTTACTTGCAAAGTCTTGGATAAAAGATTCCGACAACTTTTGATATTTAAACGCAATACCCCAGCACCCGTCAAAGTTTACAGCCATTTCCCGAAGAAAGTATTCGGGAATTTCTGGTGCTTTAAAAATGGAGCCCAGTTCACTCTGTGAAAGTATATTCTGAGCATATCAATGGAAAAATCATAATGGGACGAAAAAATTTCCCAATCTAAGATCTAGTAAATCTCATGACAAATTTGTCTGTTTGAACCCCGTGAGGCTCTTTGCTCTCTTGAGACAACAGTGAGCAGGCGTTCTCCATCTCCAAGCTCATACTGGCCGCTTTCATGGAGGGACAGGTTTAAGTAGTACTGTAGAGTGTAGGCTGCACTGAAAGCACACATTTTATGGTCACCCTCACACAGCTTACTCCTTTAAGGTAGAAATTGTAAACAGACGGGCCAGTGATTTTCCGTACGTTAGGATGAAACCCTCGCAAAAATCTGCCTTTGGTTTAAATAATTTTAAAAGAAATGCAAAGAGCTGTAATTAAACCTTGATTGTATGGTACAGAACCTTCATTCCAACGAATACCGTGATGACTTGTTAACCAGCGAGTGGTTATTTGCATTTTATCATTTACATTTTTAATAGGTACTATAAGAGGGTTTGAAAATTATTTGGCAATTCAATTATTGTGTAGAGTGGGACTGTTTCTGTGTAGTATTATGTAAAACATTTTACTCAGTATATTAGGATAGGCATTGCAAAGCTTGCGTTATTTTACAAGGAATCTATTCAATCTGATATTTTGGCAGCTAATTTTTCTTTAACGGGTTATATAACATGTTTTTTTATGTTTCAGAAATGGCAAGGCCGGTGAAGGGAGGCTATCTACTCAGGCATAAAAGTAAGTTAATTTTTTTTTTTTTGTAAGTACAATATAATATATTCTTTTCGGTGTACTGCAGAAAAAACTGCCGTTTTAATACATGCGTTGCGAGTCTAAAGTAGCATTTTTACTCTCTAGGGAGTAAAACGCATTAACCGTTAGGGAGCGAAGATCTGCTGATGTCAACTCAGTTGTAAATTTCTATTGTGTTTACAATTGCATTTATCGAAAGTATGTATTGATTTTTTATTCGATTGTAGTTAATCGTTGCCTTGTTGTAAATAGTTCGACATATTGATAGTATACAGTATGCTAACACAGTCGTAATAGACCAAACAATTGAGTCACTTACTAAACAGATAGCTGCTTGTTTCCGTTAGCAAATTAAAATGAAAACGAGCTAGAAGTAGTTTTGAGAAGTTATTGTTGAATGAAAACGATTTCAGATTTGTTACCTAGTTTGTTCAATGAAGCAATGTGACAAAAAATATAGTTTATCACACGGGCAAAAAGTGTCTTTTCAACCTTCGTTCATTTTCCAACGTCGGCTTTGCCTCGATCATAAAACTTGAGCTCCGGTCGAAAAAACACACTGGAGTCACTGGAACTAGGGATGAAACATACTATTTCACAGCTATGTTGTAGGTCCATTTAATCTAAAACTTTGATATAGTTTTTTTTTTTTTTTTTTTTTTTTTTTACTATGCCATTGATTAAGGAAATAAAAAACTATTCTTTAACCGATGTTGTGTCAACCAAGGCTCTGTAGAACTAAATAATGTAAGATTAATTTGAATGTAATCATTGAAAGCCTAACTTTTATAAGATAGTTTTAACTATCAAGATTTGTTATAATATTAACGAGGTATTAGCCCGTCCTTCGTACGGGAATCGAGTAGTCAGTTAAAACTGTGTATATTTCAGAACAGCTAGTTTATACGGATAAATATACATTTTCTTGCAGTTGTCCCTTGACCAAATTTGTTTTCATCCCATTATAGGCCTATACGATATACATTTTAAATTCGATAATTTTATAATGAAACCGCAATTGTGTCGATGTAAAAAGCCTTGATGTGAGATTTGTGGCCGATTCGCACATTGATTATAAGTAGGTTGAATATTATACATCACACATTATACAATATACATTGATTATACACCTACAGTAGAGAGAGTATAGTCAATTGGGAAGTGTATTGCCAACGATACCACCTTCCATCGCATACTATAACTTAGGTACCGTACCACCTCTGTCGCAACTGAAGGTAAGGGAACACTTGGCGCCGGAGCAAGTTGAGATACACAGGAAGGCATGGGGAAGGCCACAATTCTCTGGTTCGGCGAAACCACCGGACTGGCGGAAAAATGCTCCGGCGAAACCACCGGATATTCTCTACTTCGCCGGACCGCCGGATCGGCGGTTTCGCCGGCCCAGTGGGTAGTGGGGCATTGTTCCTTATGGAGATGAACACACATACCGGCGAAACAGCCGGAACTGCGACTGCCCCCACTCCTCAGTCGTGGTTCAACCCTCAAGGGTGGTGGTTGTTTTTCACTTAAGCGCAGTGTCCAATTGGTGTATTTAGTTTTATTTTGCTAATTAGTTAATTTATTTATTATTTTTAGTCTGTTTAGTTCTATATCATCATGGTCGATGTTGATATGGATTTACTTTTTGGTTTGATTTATGAGAAACCAGAACTTGACAAAAACAAAACGAGGGACAGCTGGAGACAAATTTGTGCTGCATCTCTTGTGGATAAATACAGTCTCTCATGTACGTGTCTTGTCCTTGTATTTGCACTCTAATCTTCAATAATTGCTCGTCGAATGAGGGGACAGACATTCGAAAATAATTAAAAACCTTATTTTCATTATTCCTCAACTGTAAAAATAAAGTATAAAATGCCCCATTGAGGTGTCTGTTCTCCAGAATCGGATGAACCCAAATATTTCGGTGGTGTTTTCTCTTCCTTCTGTGGTGGATCAAACACAGAACGGCCAATTTTTGAGGTCTTGACAGTGCCATTTCTAAGATTAAACTGATTCAGAGTTGATTGCAGTCTGTTTATTGTTGCCGCCTCCAGCAACATAGTTTTTGCCGGGACAAGTGTGTTCCGAACCTCAACCTCCGGCGGTTCCGGTTGAAGATAAGTGACTCTGAAGAAGAAAATTTAGTTTTTTCTTTTTTTTCCATATAGGCCCTACTTTGTATAGAGGGAGAAAGTAATAGACCTTAGACGTTATTGGCTTTTACAATTCAAGGATCAACCAATCATTTTGTTATAATTTTTCAAAAACCACATTTTATAATGGGTTTTGAATATTGATATGGTCTTATTTGTTAAGTTCTTTCATCTAATATTTTTTCTTTAGCCTTTTTAGAATTAATTGGAACAGCTGATGATTTTAAAATGATTCATATTGTACAAATAAAACATTCCTTTCTGTTCTTCTTGTAAACATGGTTTACTATTTTTTTCTCTCTAGGTGAAAAAAACGAACCTCTATCACAACAAACCTGTTGTGATGGTTTTTTTTCCGATTTCGTAAATATTTCCGCCACTAGACTTTCAATATCCATCTTTGCACGACCAACGACACTAGCTGAGAAAAAGGACTGAAGCATTGTCACAGCTACTATCGCTGGTTGGGACCTAAGAGAGATTTAAAGCGCAGCTCCAAAGTAAACAGACCCTGAGGTTACTGCCCCCCCCCCTATTCCCTTCTATCACCTGCGTCTTTTATAATTATTGCCACCACAATGCAATTACTCATACTATACCAAATTTACAGTAAGTCAAAATAAAAAAAAATACCTAAAATAAAACGAATCCAATAAAAGTCACAGTATGTACACAATTTTGGTATCCTGACATCATTACATGAACCGTCCATATAACTAACTATCATTAATCAATTTCACTGCATCAATTGCTAAGTTAATGAGTAAAAGAAGAAAAGTAAAAACAATAACAAATCGTTTGTTTTGAAACTACTGGGAAATATAGCAAAGATACGCCACTTGGGATGTTTTCCCCATAAAAAAACATGGTGAGCATTTTTTTGCCATTTTGTATAGACCCTGCTCTCGGTCTATACAAGCCCATACAAATGTTCAGTACTATTGTCCAACTCCATTAACATTCCAAAACCACGTCCATTCCCATGTATATTTCCAAAATCATCGACTTGACAGTGCAAGGTTTGCACGCGAACTCGGGCGTGCTACCACTCCCGACCCATGCTTCTCGCTCCTGACCCATGGTCGGGCTTCTCACCCTCATTGGTAAAGCGATGAAATGGCACTCCCCTGGACATCCTTTGTGGAAATCCATGAGTTCTGGCTACTTGGGAGCCCAAGCCGTTTGACATACAACATATCACCGTTTCTCCTAATCATCTTCTCTACCAAATGCATGTCTTTATACTTGGTCTTTAACAACTCCTCTGTATAGAATCCTCCCCTGATTGTGCCCCACCACTGAGGGGCGGTAACATGCCACCAGAGAAGAGCATTCGATCCAGACAAACCAATTTCTAAAAACATAAACTCTAGTTTAGCCAAGTACTCACCCGGAGATACATACAATTGTCTGGCATTTAAACCGTCTTTGACAAAAACAGCCACTCCAACAAGACTGGTGGTTGGAGTAAGAGGTACGACACTAGCTTGAGGTACGTGACGTAGGAAGTGGTAAAGGAAGTAGTAAAGGCAAGCAGTCCGGACTGTGGGAAATGTTTTTGAGGATTAGATTAAGGTATCTGTAATCCTAAAATGCTATGAGAAGGGAAGAAAACAGGTCCGCGACGTAGGAAGTGGTGAAGAAAGAAGTCAAGGCGAGCTGTCTGGAGTGTGGAAACTGTTTATGACGATTAGATTGAGATATTTACAATCCTAAAATGCTATGGGAAGGGACGAAAACAGGTCCGCGATGTAGGAAGTAGTAAAGGAGTAGTCCAGGCGAGCTGTCCGGAGTGTGGGAACTGTTTATGACGATTAGATTAAGTTATTTGCAATCCAATAATGCTAAGGGAAGGGAGGTAAACAGGTTCGTGACGTAGAAAGTGGTGAAGGAAGTAGTAAAGGCGAGCATTCCGGAATGTGGAAACTGTTTGTGACGATTAGATTAAAGTATCTGCAATCCTAAAATGCTATGAGAAGTGAGGAAAACAGGTCCGCGACGTAGGAAGTGGTGAAGGAAGTAGTCAAGGCGAGCCGTCCGGAGTGTGGAAACTGTTTATGACGATTAGATTAAGTTATCTACAATCCTAAAATGCTATGGGAGGGAGGGAAACAGGTCTGTGACGTAGGAAGTGGTGAAGGAAGTAGTAAATTCGAGCAGTTCGGAGTGTGGGAACTGTTTATGACGATTAGATTATGGGATCTGCAATCCTTAAATGCTATAAGGGGGGGAAACAAGTCCGAGACGTAGGAAGTGGTGAAGGAAGTAGTCAAGGTGAGCTGTCCGGAGTGTGGGAACTGTTTATGTCGATTAGATTAAGGCATTTACAATCTTAAAATTCTATGGGAAGAGAGGGAAACAGGTCCACGACGTAAGAAGAGTTGAAGGAAGTAGTAAGGTGAGCAGTGTGGAGTGTGGGGGAACTGGAAACCGTTTGTAGCAGTTAGATTAATGTAACTGCAGGGCTGAAATGCTATGAGAAGGGATGGAAGCATGCGCACGACATAGAAAATGGCGAAAGAAGTAGTAAAGGCTAGCAGTACGGAGTGTGGGGAATGTTTGGGGAAATTAGATTAACGTATCTAAAATACTAAAATGCTATGGAAATTGATGAAAATAGGTCCACGATGTAGGAAGTGGCTTAGGAAGTAGTAAAATATGAGCATAGTGTGAGAAACGTCTGTGGCAGTTAGATTAATGTATCTTCAATCCTAAAATGCTATGAGAAGGGAAGGAAACAGGCCCCACGACGTAGGAAGTGGTGAAGGAAGGAGTAAGACTTGCAGTGCAGAGTGTGGGAACTGTCTTTGGCTATTGCATTAATGTATC